GGCTGGCTGGCTGGCTGGCAGGCTGGCAGGCTGGCTGGCTGGCTGGCTGGCTGGCTGGCTGGCTGGCTGGCTGGCAGGCAGGCTGGCAGGCTGACTGGCTGGCTGGCTGGCTGGCTGGCTGGCTGGCTGGCTGGCAGGCTGGCAGGCTGGCAGGCTGGCAGGCAGGCTGGCAGGCTGACTGGCCCGGCTGGCTGGCTGGCTGGGTGGCTGGCTGGCTGGCTGGCGTGGCTGGCTGGCAGGGAGGCTGGCTGGCAGGGAGGCTGGCTGGCTGGCTGGCTGGCTGGCTGGCTGGCTGGCTGGCTGGCTGGCTGGCAGGCTGGCTGGCTGGCTGGCGGCTGGCTGGCTGGCTGGCAGGGAGGTGGCTGGCGGGAGGTGGCTGGCAGGGAGGCTGGCTGGCTGGCTGGGGAGGGAGGCTGGCTGGCTGGCTGGCAGGGAGGCTGGCTGGCTGGCTGGCGGGCGGGGGAGGCTGGCTGGCTGGAAGGGGGGCGGGGCTGGCGGGCTGGCTGGCTGAGGGGGGGGGAGGGGGGGGGAAAGGGGGGGGCAGGGGGCAGGGAGGCAGGGAGGGGGGGGGGGGGGGAGGGAGGGAGGCAGGGGGGGGCGGGAGGGAGGCAGGGAGGAAGGGGGGCGGGGGGAAGGCAGGCAGGCAGGAAAGGTGGCGGGGCGGGCAGGCGGGGCGGGGCTGGCGGGCCCAGGTGGCTGGTGGCTGCAGGTTTGGCGGGGGTGGCGGCTGGTTTGGTGGCTGGTGGTGGCAGGGGGCGGTGGCAGGCTGGCAGGCAGGCTGGCAGGTTTGGACTGGTGGCTGGGGGGCTGGTGGCTGGTGGCTGGCTGGGGGGCTGGGGTGGGCGGGGGTTTTGGGGGCTGGCGGGGCAGGGGGGGCCTGGCTGGCTGGCTGGCTGGCAGGGAGGCTGGCTGGCGGTGGGGGAGGTGGCGGTTTGGTGGCGGGGCTGGCTGGCTGGCGGGGCTGGCTGGTGGCTGGCGGCTGGCGGGCTGGGGGGCTGGGGTGGCGGGCTGGCGGGGCGGTTTGGTGGCGGCTGGCTGGCAGGGGGCTGCTGGCGGGCGGGCTGGCTGGTGGCAGGGAGGCTGGCGGGGCTGGCAAGGGGGGCTGGTGGCGGGCTGGCTGGCAGGGAGGGGGTGGCGGGGGCAAGGAGGGGGGCTGGGGGCTGGCAGGGAGGTGGCGGGTGGAAGGAGGTGGCTGGGGGCTGGGGGGGGAGGCTGGCTGGTGGTGGCGGGGGGGCGGTGGCGGGGCTGGCTGGCTGGTGGCTGGCGGGGGAGGCTGGCGGGCTGGCTGGCAGGGGGGGCGGCTGGCAGGGAGGCTGGCTGGCTGGTGGGGGTTGGCAGGGAGGCGGGGGTGGCGGGGAAAGGGCTGGGGGCGGGCTAGAAAGGGGAGGATGGCTGGCGGGGGCTGGGGGAGGTGGTGGAAGGAGGCTGACTGGTGGTGGGCAGGGAGGTGGCGGGGCCGGCAGGGAGGTGGTGGTGGGGCAGGGAGGTGGCTGGCTGGCTGGCAGGGAGGCGGGGGGGTGGCTGGCAGGGAGGCTGGCTGGGGGCTGGCAGGGGGCGGTCTGGCGGGCCCAGGGGGTTGGCGGGGGAGGCTGGTGGCGGAAAGGCTGGTTGGTGGCAGGGAGGTGGCTGGCGGGCCCAGGGAGGTGGCTGGTGGCAGGGAGGCTGGTTGGTTTGGTGGCAGGAGGTTGGCTGGTTTGGGCGGGGAGGCTGGCTGGTGGGGGGCAGGGAGGCTGCTGGCTGGGGGGGAGGCTGGCAGGGGGCTGGCGGGGGTGGCTGGCGGGAGGGGTTTGGGCTGGCTGGCAGGGAGGCTGGCTGGCTGGCAGGGAGGCTGGCTGGCGGGAAAGGGAGGATGGCTGGCTGGCAGGGAGGCGGGCGGGTGGCGGGCCCAGGGAGGTGGTTGGCGGGCCCAGGGAGGCTGGTGGGGGGAGGGAGGTGGCTGGCTGGCAGGGGGGGCTGGCGGGGCTGGCAGGGAGGCTGGCAGGGAGGCGGGTGGCTGGAAGGCCCAGGGGGCGGTGGCGGGGCTGGCGGGGGAGGCTGGCAGGGAGGCTGGCAGGGAGGCTGGCTGGCTGGCGGGAGGCTGGCAGGGAGGTGGCAGGGAGGTGGTGGCTGGCAGGGGGGTAATGAAGTGGTGACAATTGATGAGCGTTGTTTTTTTATTTTTTATTTTTATTTATTTTTAAATTTTGGAAAATTTTTTAAGAGAAGTAAAAAGGGAATACAATTTTTAAAGTGCAGCATGTAAAAGCCCCTTTGTATGCAGGGGCTTTTGGGCAGAACCCTTTAAAAATTTAAATTAAGATTAACTAAGAATGATTTAAATTTAGTGGTTTAAAAAAAATTTTTGTAAAAAAAATAAAAAATTTTTGGACAAATTTAGTATTACCCAAAAACAGGTTTATGGTCCCTTTACTGTGTTGCTGTGGAATCAGTAGAAAAGGAGTTTTTTGTTTGGTTAAAGAAAATTAAATAGTTTAAAAAAGTTTTTTTGGGTAAAGGTTGACATTTATGGATACAATTTAAAGAGTTAAAAATATGAGATACAAATTTTTGGATTTTCAATTATTTTAGAAATTTTTTTAGTTGTGGGGGAGTAAGTGATTTTTTTTGGGGGGGAAGAGACTTGAATTTATTTAAAAAGACGTGTTTCTTTTTTTTTCACAGGTTAAAAGAATTCCAGATTTTTGGGGCCCTTTTTTGTTTCATTGAGTTTTTGCATAGTGGAGATGGACACGAGGAAAAATAAAAAAGTGATCTGGCCCTTTTGTTTTGGTCTTTTGTTCTGTTGAGGGGTTTGGGAAGGGGTTTGAGGGGGGGGGGTTTTTTTCAGAGTTGTGTTTTTCCCTGTATTGTAGTAGGGGCAGTAATAAGTATGGGTTTTGTATTGGGGTAGGTTTTGAGTTCTGGGAAAATTTGGGGGGTGGTTTTGTCTGTAGTGGGAATTTGTTTTCATTTGAATTTCAGCCTTATCTTATCACTCCACTAATGGAGTGGTGTTTTATGATGAGGGTACCTGCCCTTGCTTTATTTGTTTTTAATTTTTTTTTTAAACTTTTTTTTGTCTGTTTTTTCTCTTTTTTGTCTGTCTCAGAGAAAACCATAGTGCCAACCTATTTTCCAAAACGATGCAGTAGTCAAAGTGTCCATTGGACCTTTATATTTATTACTTGCCGTCTGGATTTTTTTGGGGTTTTCCCAGGAATTTACAATATGTATAATTGTATTTATGTGTACCTGCGAGACAGATAACCAGTCAGATAGGCAGCTAGATAGCCAGCCAGCCATCCAGCAAGCCAGATAACCAGCCAACCAGCCAGCCAGATAGCCAGCCAGCCAGCCAGATAGCCAGCCAGCCAGCCAGATAGGCAACCAGCCAGACAGCCAGCCAGCCAGATAACCAGCCAGCCAGCTGGCCAGATAGCCAGATAGCCAGTCAGCCAGATAGCCAGTCAGCCAGATAGCCAACCAGCCAGATAGCCAGATAGCCAGCCAGCCAGATACTCACCATATCCACCACCACCACCATCTACTACCACCACCACCATCCACCACCATCACCATCCACCACCACCAATACCATCCACCATCACCACCATGGTAGCTTATTTCACAGTTGTGCTTAATAAACAAGAACCAAACAATGAATTAATTGTGAAATGTTTAAATGAGTGGCAGGTAAGTGTTCACTCAAGCATCAACAAAGCCAGACTGGCTCATGAGGGGACACGGATTGAGCGGGCTGGCAGACACGTCCAGTACCTGGCAGTTCGAAAGACAGAGTTCGATACTTGGAACAAAACTGGTTCAAAAAAAGCAGTCGAAACTCGAAATGTTCGATAGTCGGTAGGTTCGAAACTCGAGGGTCCACTGTACTTAAGTATTTTGTTGTGCCTGGAATTCCACTGGAATAGATTTATTCCATTTCATTTAATTTAAATGACGAAAATTAACTCAACAAACGAGCAAATCGAGCTGCGAGCAAGGTCACGGAATGGATTAAACTCATAAGTAGAGGTTCCACTGCATAAGCAACCAATTAGTTTTAATGACAAAACAGGTTCTGGTACCTAACACATGAATTTCGATAAATTTTCAAGTAGGCATTAAATGTTTTAATGTATTCATATATTTGGAGTGGACATGTCAGCAGATGGATCTATGAAGGATGAGGTGAATCATAGAATTGATGAGGGGAAAAGGGTGAGGAGTGCTTAGGAGTCTGTGGAGACAAAGAACTTGTCCATGGAAGCAAAGAGGGGAATGTATGAGAGTAGTTATATCAATGCTTATATATGGGTGTGAAGCATGGGTGGTGAATGTTGCAACAAGGAGAAGGCTGGAGACAGGGAAGATGTCATATCTGAGGGCAATGTGTGGTGCGAACATAATGCAGAGAGTTCGTAGTTTGGAAATTAGGAGGAAATCTGGGATTGCCAAAACTATTATCCAGAGGGCTGAGGAAGGATTGTTGAGGTGGTTCAGACATGGAGAGAGGAAAAACAAAATAGAGGGTGTATAAATCTGTAGTGGAGGGAAGGCGGGGTAGGGGTCAGCCAACAAAAAATTGGAGTGAGAGGGTAAAGGAGGTTTTGTGTGCGAGGGGCTTGGACTTCCAGCAAGTATGCGTGAGCATATTTGATAGGTGTGAGTGGAGACAAATAGTTTTTAGGACTTGACGTGCTGTTGGAATGTTAGCTGGGTAACATTTATGAAGGGATTCTTCAGAGAAATCAGCAGGCCGGACTTCAGTCCTGGAGATGGGAAGTACAGTGTCTGCACTCTGACGGAGGGGTGCTAACATTGCAGTTTTACAACTGCAGTGTAAGCACGCCTCTGGCAAGACAGTGATGGAGTGAATGATGATGAAAGATTTTCTTTTTCGAGCCACCCTGCCTTGGTGGGAAGTGGCCAATGTGTTAATAATAAAAAAAAATATAAAAAAATTAGTCATACTGTGTGCTACATTTATTATCTTATAAAAAAAAATGCTTAAAATGTCTTACCTGTTCAACTAGAAGAAGTTCCTTAAGATAGGTAGCCTCAGTGGCTATTATTTCTTGTATGACACTTTGTCGCTTTTGTTCAAGCGGTGATGACGGCGAGAACTGCCAACTTTCACTGCTTCTGCTGTAGTCATAGGTATTCTTGTGTTGATCTCTTTCATCTGTAATATATGCAGTCTAAGTTATAAAACTAGAGTATAAAATATTGGAATAATATGACATGATAAAATGTCTTATATTTTACAATAGTGGATATATTCTAATGTACTTTACATTCCTTCTTTCCCTACATGTCCCTTTAATAGGGTACCTTGATGCTAACAAATCTTTCTTGATCAAAGGAAATGGAGCAACTCTCCCCTTCAAATCAAAACCTGAATACTCCCGAGGCTCTTAATGGCGCATGACCCTCAGGGCTTAATTATTATATAATAAGTGTTGTATATAAATACGTATACAGTATGCAATTATATACATATTAGATGTACTGTGTACAAAGGATTTAAAACTGTAAAATTTTTCCTTGAAGTATTTTATTCTCTTCTTGGGGATGGGGGTCCTCAGTAAATTTTCTGAGGTGGTACGTGGACCCTCGACCAAGGGCGGCTCAACAAACCCCAAAATTCGTCAAACGGCGCTTTTTGGGTGAAAAAAATTGGCTCACCAAAACGAAAATCATGTAAGGGCTTTGTCCCGAACACTTTCAGGGGCGGCTGAGCGAGCCTGAGGGGGCCCAGGCACCCAAGACTCATTGCCACTGTTAACAAGCCACTGCGGCGTTACTTTTTCCCTGCGATATATTTTGCTTTATTCCGTTTTTTTTAGTGCTTGAAACCGCAAATAATCACCTTGGGTCCCAAAAAGTTTTAAGTGCCAAGCCTGGGTAAAAAGGGGATTACAATGAATGAAGAAAGAGATCATTGAAAAATATAAAATGGAGGAAATATGTCCTATTTGGAAAGGCATATAAAAACCCCCCTTAAACCCCCAAACTTTTGGCAAATGAAAGGAAATCAAGGAAGCTTTTGTTGCGAAAGGTGCAAGTATGTTTTAAAAACGGGTCGCAAATAATAAGAGTGGAAGCTGTTTTTGGGTGTGGAAAAATGAAAAACAATTACTGGGAATAATGTGTCTCAGTCAATAATTGAGAAAAGGAAAGGAGCTCATGATGATCTCTTTAAGAAATGCCTCAATATGAAATATTGATGAATTTAAAGGGTCGCAAAGGTGGCTTGAGAGATTTTAAGTCATAGTGGAATCACAGTGTGGAAAAGGCGGGGTAAGGATGGTGAGGTGCCGTTCAGACAAAAAAAATGGGTGAAAAATATGTGCAGGCTTTAAAGGGGTACATAGCATTGAAAACTTAAAAACCCGAAAAATATTTAATTTGAGAAACGGCTGTTTTGGAGGAAAATACCAAACAGGACCTACATTACCAGGAGGAAAAAGGCACTCCCAAGAAAAAAGCCTATGAAAGACAGGCTGACATTAAGTTATGTAGTAACACTAGTGGTGATTGCAAAGGAAGTTTTTATTGGTGCATCCTCTGAAACCCCAGAGTGTTCAAGAAAAACAAATCGAAAGGGGTAATTTGAGTGTGCTGTGGAGATCAAACACAAAAGCATGGGTCCTGGGGAAATTTTTAGGGATGGTTATATGGGGGTTTTTTTGGCCCACTGGGGAAAAATTACCTCCGGGAAAAGAAATTGTCATTCAATGCCTCCTGGAAATGGACAATGCTCCTGCCCATCCCACAACTTGCAAGAGCAAATTGCGGGAAATTTTTGTTTCGTTAAAGTGAATTTTTGCCTCCAAATAAAACCCCTTCCTCCAGCCCCGGCCCGCAGGTCATTTCAAAATTCAAAAAACTCACACAAAAGCATGTTTAAAGGTGCTTTGAGTGCCTCAACAAAATTGACCTAAGAGGAGTTTTGGAAAGATCATTTTAACCCTCTTTGCATAACCCTGATGGGTAAGGTTTGGGACAGGTGACTTGCAGGATTTGAATTGCTTGAGGAAACTGTGGCCAGAGTGTAAAAAAAAAGGGGATTCTGAAGGGTTTGGGGCTAACCTCAGGAACTTATGCCAGTTGGGGAAAGCTAGTGTGTCATTGGGGAATCCAGGGGGGTTGGGGTTTGGGGTGAGGATTAAAAGAATTGGGCAGAACGACGAGAAAAACTAACCACTGCAGACTGCACGAGTTTGGGGTGCAACAGAAACAGATCAAGCTCAGGAATTGCTTCAAGCAGGGGGAAAGAAACAGGAAAAATTCCCATCATAAAGATTAAGGAAAGTGTACAATGTTTACAAACGAAAGCATTTATGGAGAATTTTATCCTGTCACAGCTGTTGCAACCCGTTTTGGCAACATGTGCAATGACATTTTTTTGTCCAAATTTTGGGGAAAACCTAAAAAGTAGTGAAAACGAGTTTTTCTGGACAGATATTTTGTGTACAGGGGTCCAGTGACTCTCAAGCTGTCCTAGTGCATTAACCCCTTTAGGGGTTTGGGCCGTACTAGTAGCTTGCATGAGGGTTGGGGCCATACTAGTACACATAAATTCTAGACCTTCAAATCTCGCAAGGAAAGCTGGAGGCCTACATGTGAGAAAATGGGTCATGTGGTCAGGGGGCACAGTATAAAAAAATCCCCCAGTACACGTGCAAATGAGAAAAAAAAACCCCAAATGGTTTTGGGTTTAAAACACTGACTTTGCAGTGATTTTTCGCTGCTATTTAGGGGTTGATTCTAGTTTTCGGGGTTCATTTATAGAAGGAAGACATTTAGGGAAAAATTGAGATGTTTTTGATTATTTTTTCAAAATGAAAATCCTTTAAAAATGAGCTAAAAGTACAAAAAATTTTCGATTTTTCCCAAAGTTCAAAAGTAACAAATCATGCCATGCGTTAATACACATAAACTGTGAGTCAAATTTTCTTTTACAAGTGCGCTGTATTATTTAACCATTTTAACAAATGCAGTAGTCTGCAAAACAGTAATCCCCATCTTTTCTAAAAAAGATTCAAGTGGAAACAAACGAAATGTAAGAGGGGCCTGGGGACCGACTAATGAACAAGATAATGTTTTTTTTGTGTCGGGAAATGTCTTTTTGTTTATTCTAGACCCTATTGGAAATTGGCACTTTTGAATTTTGGGGTGAAATTGGAAAAAATTTCCCAATTTTTCTGACCACTTTATTATAGTTGATATCGGTAAATGGGTGGTTTCTTTAATTTTAAATAGAAAAAATGGAGTTCTAGCAAAAAAATTATGATATTTCCGATGGTAAAAATTGGAAAGACCAAAATAGGGCTAAAAATGGCGAAATCGTGATGCATAATATTGTCAAACCCGCTATTTTCGTGAGAGCTAATTCCGAAAATTTTCCATAAATTTTCATATTTTTGGGTGTTTTTTAATTGGGAAAGTTTCTCTTCATTTCAAAAGGAAAAATTAAATTTTTTTTTTCGAAAAATTTACAACTGAAAGAACAATTTTTGCAGGGGGCCTGCCGACCCAGAAAGGGTTAAAAAAACCCGAAGGGGGGAAACCCCCCCAAAGGACTTGGGACCTAAGTCTTTTTGGAAGGGGTTCCCCTTCCAAACAAAGAAAACCTGATCCCCCTGCTGCTGGCACAATCGTAGGGAAATGTTTATTTCATTAAAAAAAAAAAATGATTTTTGTACGTTTGGGGGTCGGGAAAGGGTTAAACTATTTTACTATTTCTTTGGGGGAAAAAAAATTTGACTAACAATAATTTGACTAAAGGCTATTCTTGGGAAAGAAATTTAAAATCTTGGTCGAGAGTCTCTGACCTATTAATACATATAGTAAATACATTGCCATAAGGTGAAATCCCTAAAGGAAAGCCTTGGAAAAAAATGCCATAAAACGGGACTTACTGTGTGTGTGTGTGTACTCACTGTTTATCACCTATTTTAGGTTGCAGGGTTTGGGCCCAAATCCCGGCCCCCCCTCTTTACTGGTGCTCTAGGTCACTCTCCCTGAAAACCTGTGTACCACCTATTTGCTCACCCAATTTTTTTGGACCAGGGGAAATGTCCTTGGCCCTCTTTTTTCTTTCTCCTTCATAAAGACCTACCAAATGCTCGCAAATTTCTCAAACCCCACACTATTTCGATGACACTACATACGTCTTCTCCCCCCCGAGCCCCGGCAGCCAATATGTAAATAAAACCCAATTACAGAAAATATCTACTGGATGAGGGGCTAACAAACTTACACTAAACTTTCAAAAATACTTCATTGTTTGGGAACAGAGCTACAGATGTCCCCCCTTAACATAATGAAAAAATGGATCCCTTTCAAAAGCTAACAGAGGGAAAATTTTTAGGAAACCCCCTTGATAATAGACTCAAAAATTTTATACACTTAAACAAATTTCTAAGAAAATTTCCAAGACTGTAGGCATACTATCGAAGATACGGTACAATGCCCACATCACCCCCGGGCCCCCTATATCCTCTCTTTTTTACCCCCTACCACCTATGGAATTTGTGCAGGGTCAAAAACAATTAACCATCTCAACCACAAATTACCCAACAAAAGGCTGCATTTAGAAGATAAAAATTCTAACTACGGGTAGCACACTCCCCCTATTCAGTACACTAAACCTACTCCCATACAAAACATCCATACTTATTACTGCAACCTATTACATACATAGAACACAAAACTCTGTTTTAAACCCCCCCCTCAAACTCCCCTTGCCCCCTAACAGAACAATGCCCCATAAAAAAGGGCCCCAAAGATCACTTTTTGATGTTCCTTTGTCCATTCCAATATGCAAAAACCCAAATGCACAAAAAAAGGCCCTAAAATCGGGAAATTCATTCCTGTAAAATAAAAGAAACACTACCTGTTTATAAATTCAAGTCTCTTTAAAAGATCATTTACTCCCCCAAAAAACCAAATAAATACTGAAAAATGAACCTTATAAATTGTATTTTAAATGTTTCTCACAATTTATACACATAAATTTTAAAAAACCTAAACCCAAATCTACTTTATTATTTTTTAAAATACACTCCTAACAAAATACCCATATGACTGAATGTACAAAAATGCAGCAACCTTTGCCCTGTCTTTGTAATATCACTTGTGCTTTTTAGTAATCTTTTACATTAAGTTTTATCACTGTTTTCATCTTGCTTGAAAACTTAATTTTTTTAGCACCCGTAATCTATGATAGTATAAATGGCTTTGGCATCTGCCTTATCT